GATGACCTCTCGAGGTCCCTTCCAGTCCTAGAATCTATGACAACTACTTTATTAGTGAGTTTTTTAAATGCTGACTACAAAAAAATGTCAATAGTTGCAAGACAAACATTTAAAAAGGTACTTCTGCACCAATTCCCTATGCTAGCAACGTCTGAGAAATTCATGCTATTAGTCCCATTTGTAGTTCAAGTTAAAAAAAAGTAACTTCATCTTCTCTCACATAATATTTTCTCCACCTGAGTCAACTGGAATCACTTGGACATGAAAATGCTTAAGACTACAAGACTATGCAAAAGCACAAGACAACAAAAATTATCAAAAAACTGTAATCAGACAGGAAATGCTTTAAAAATCAGGTTTTTCTGATTACTGTGTTGCTGCCCTGCTCCCTTCACCTGCTTTTAGCTGCCAATTCTCTTATGATCATAATGCCCAAATCTACCCTCAGTTTTTGAGGGTTCCTAGACTCAAGATTAATGTTTTTAGCATTTGAAAGTTGAGATTCCTGGATCTCAGGTGGTGGAAAGCATTTGTTCTATCTTTAATGGGTCTTGAGATAACCACTAAGATCGCGTCAGAAATGAAGCTCTGGGGAAGTAATATGGGGTAGTGACAATTTTATGAACCCCATTAGATAAAAAAACCAGCATTTCTGGTGGTATACAGAACTAATTGCTAGCATTGTGGGTTCATGAAATATCTGATCTTAAAATGGTCACTAGTGCCTCAGACTAGCCAGGCATTTTTAATATGCAGGAGTTAATACAGCAAATCCCACACTTCAGAATAGTATTTTAGATTCCTGAGCTATACTCTGCCATTTATATCATCACCGTAATAAATCAAGAAATCCAAATTTAACTACTAATTTTGAGATTATGCATAAGAAAGAATAGACTCTAGCTTATGCTCACATAGCTGTATTGTCTTTGCAGGGCCCAGGCTGAAGAGAAGTCAGGTCTAGTGTTCTGAGCACAAGGCTGAGAGCCAGAAATACCTGAGATTCTAATCCCTGCTCTGGTAGTGACTGTCACTTTACTTCAATGCCTCAGTTTCCCCATCTGTAAAATGGATATTATACTTACCTACCTCATAAAGGATGCTGTGAGGACTGATCATTTGGGACATCCCATTGAAAAATCATGTGTGTCTGAATTTTTTTTTTTAATTTATCATTGTTACAATTAATATGTAAGATGACTAACAAACAGATCAGAGGAAAAAAGGTTTGCCCCCTTAAGCTTTCAGTTTGTTTTTTTATATTTGACAATGCTTTGTAGATAGTGAATTTCAGCGTCCCACACAGCTGCACCTATTTGTGCAAGTCTTTCACACAGGATCAGGGGAGAGGAGGAAAACTTTTTTTAAAAATGTGGATGTAAAACCATAAAAATGGGCAAGAGGGCAGGTGTAGTATCAAACTACCTGTAACTCATTTTTTCAATCAATTAAGTATCAGGTTGACAGTGTCCCTTTAAGATTAGTAGAGTAACTGGCGATGTAAAACAATATGCAAATACTAAGCATTCTAACTGATTATTTAAAACTAGTTTGTATCAGTGAACAGATGCGTCTCAAAAGACATATGGACCAGAGACACGCAGAAAGGTGATGCCTTTTTCACATTTCTGACCATAAATACAGGTGAAAAAAGGACCAAGCCAAACTTAACATATAAAGTCTGAAAGACAGGATAAAGTTCTCTAAGCTAACTCACCAAACTCTAGATACTTTCAAACTCCCAAGTGGCCCTTGTTGTGGTAATTCAAACCAAGGTCCCTTGGGCAACAAGCTAAACATGTTCTACTGCCCTTATCCTAATATCTTCTAGCATTCCTTGCAACTTTGCCATTGATTACCTTGTTCACTGGGAATCAGGAAGATACAAGTAACAACATACCCTGAGAGTAAACAGGTTGTGAAGATAAGACACTGAACAAACAGCAGTGGTGAATCCCAATGGTAATACTCACATAAGGAGAGTACAGCTCCCCTGTGTCGGTAATGCCACCCGCCATGTTTGAGGCTAGAGGGGCCTGGAACGGAGAAGCAGGTATCTTCTGTCTCTGCTACGCCTGGCCTAAAGAGACAACATGTCCAAGACTGGTTATCATTATCAGCAGCAGCTCATGATGCCACTGAAAGACCGATGGACAACCCATTACTGTAAACAGAGGAAGATTTGAGCAGAATTGCAATTGGGACTCTGTCCTGCCCTGGGATATGAGCACACCTCCAGATGCCCCCTCCTCCAACACACTGTCCTGACAGCTCCGTTCAAAATTCTTTACTGCTTTGACAAAGTGCACAAATGTTATCAGATAGCCCTACTCTTTTCCCCTGCACATCAGATACCTACCAGTTACCAACTTCAAGAAGACAGCAGTGCAAGACAGGAGCAGATCATTCCATAATTGTCCTGTTCTGCACACTCCCCCTGAAGCTCTGCTAGGGGCAACTATTGGAGACAGGATACTAGGCTAGATGGACTCTGTTTGCCCTATTATGGCAGCTCTTATGGAATGTACCAACCTTACTGAAACAGCCACCAAACCTGGGGTTTCCACTAACCCACTCAGTAGGAAAACAATGGCCTCTCAGAGTTGGTAAGACAACTCCCACCTGTTTATGCTCTCTATATGCATCCGAAGAAATGGTTCTATAAAGGATCATCTAATCATACTATCACCCAAATAATAATCAATATGCTTTAGAAATATACTGCCGTCACATGAGTTATTCTGCAGATTGCTACACCCAACAACCCCAATCTCTCTCCATATACTTTCCAAAAAACAGCCAGCCAACATTCTGAATGTAGAAACAGAATACATTGAATTATACATACCTAGGCCTCCCAAAATAAAAGCATTTGGGGAACTTCACAACAGCTATAAAAGCATTTGAAAAAAAGCCCTCTAAAGAATTTAAAAGCCATTAAATAATTACAATTTTCCAATAAAATCACTATTCCAGTTACTTGAGAACTTAATCTAACTCACCTTACTATATAGGAGAAAAGGTTTGGGTCCTGTCTTAACAACCAACTGCACCAGCTGGCAAAAATTATCAGTACAAACCTCCTCCTAGCCCAGGCACAGAAGAATATTCAACTTCTGGCACCACCTCAATCACAACAGTAAACATCCCCTCCTCCCCCCACAGCAGCAGAGTAGTAAGAGGATGAAAAGCTAAAATCAGCTAACAAATATAACCCACTCTTAGATAATGATCCTGTTCTGGACATGACAATATTAATCTCCAGTTCAATGGAGCAAACAAACCCACCCAAGATAGTGATGCTAAAAACACTACGGCAAAGCCTAAAACAGAACAAAACCAAGGGAGACTGCTACAGAGCCATGCTCAGAATTATCAGGCCAGCAGACATCTCATCATAGAAGAATGTACAAATCTAAGGCAGACTCTCCTCAAATGCCCAGTGACAATAAAATAGAGGTGGGAACAAGGAGAGACAAAGCCAAGAGAAAACCCATGTGACACAGACTGATTTGGAGACACCTTCTACTCCTTTGTCCAAAATACAACCCAGGAGGGGGGAGATGAAAGGGAAACATCCCACTGACAAATATCAGCACAGCAGACACACCCCATTTCACCAAGAGAGACCCCACCCCTTATATCCCACCCCAGTGACCACATGTGTTCCACCCCACCCCCAACCCTCCACACGAGATCTCCCACCCCAGAGCCCCCACAATACCCAATCTCCAGCTCCCACCCCAGAGGCCTCACACTGCCCGAGCCTCCCACCTCTCACCCCACTTCCAAACCCCCACCTCCCACCCCAGAGCCCCTCCACTGCCCAAGCCCACTTCCCCCCAGAACCCCGACACTGCCCGAGCCCCCCACTTCCCACCCCCACCTCCCATCCCAGAGCCCCAACACTGCCTGAGCCCCCTCAGATCCCACCCCACTTCCCAACCCCCCAGCTCCCAACCCACTGCCCAACCCACCTGAGCCCCCACCTCCCACTCCAAACCCCCCACACTGCCCGAGCACCCCACCTCCCACCCTAGAGCCCCCACACTGCCCGAGCCCCCACCTCCCACCCCAGAACCCACACACTGCCCAACCCCACCCGAGCCCCCACCTCCCACCCTAGAGCTCCCACACTGCCCGAGCCTCAACCTCCCACCCCAGAACCCTCACACTGCCCAACCCCCATGTCACCAGAGCCCCATCTCTCAGACCCTCTCCATACCACGTCCCCACCCCATAGGCAGCTAGCTCCTCCCGTACCTGCACTCCCAAGGACCCCGCCGGCACACCCCAGACGCCACCCTCATACCGTGGAACGTACAGAGCATGCGCGGACTCACCACGCAGCAGTAAGGCGTAATGAGGCCCCTGCTCCGCCGATTGGATGCGCTGGATCACGTGCGGGAGCGCGGGCCGTCCGGCCGCACTCGACCCGGTGGCACCCATAGGCTGGAAGCGGAGTAGTTTCTGCGCATGCGCTCTAGGTGAGGCACCCAAAGCACTTTTTCACACTACAGCGGCCCGCACCGAGGCAAGAGGTGCCTTGTAGCCCCAGGACCCCATGGGCTCGGGAGACCCCGTTCCCTGCTAGGGCTAGATATCCCCTCCCCGTGCGCCCCTCATTGCCCCCACCCGGGGCTGGGTGTCCCCCTCAATTGCCTCCCATCCCCAGCCCGCTGGGGGTTGGGCGAGAGCGGGGCTGGAGGCTGCCCACTTCCTCCCGCCTCCCCTCCTGGGGCTGGAGCAGTGTCCCCCGCTGCTCGGATGTGAGGCAGTGGGGTGGGGGTAAATGGCTGCTCAGTGCTGACCCCTCGGACTAGGAACGGTTTGGTTGTGGGGCTCGTCTCTTGCATTTCCTCATTGGTTTGCTTCTGCCGCACATCGTGTCTAGTCAGTTTCACAGCTCACCTCTTAGAGCAGTCACTTCGCCAGTGTTTCCTTTGCTGAAAAGACCAGGATAAAACCCATTAGGGGAGCAGAAAAATGTGGTGGGGGGAGGGGGGTTGTAAGGAAGTGTAAAAAAAAAAGTTGGAGCCCATTATTTACAGGGGTCTCTATGAGAAAGTGAAATTCATTGTAGTTACTCAGTTTCAAGGAACTGCTGTTGATGGTGTACTTTTCCCCTGGCATCTTTAAAAACTTTAGTAAGTTACTTTCTGTCTCTCTTTCAGGTTGAAGACTATGAAGATTAACCAGAACACAGTCTTACAGGGGAAGAAGGTGACCCTGGTACCATACACCTCTGCTCATGTATCCCGGTATGTCGCTTACACCATCTCTGACATCTGTTTCTGTCAAGGCTGCTTCCCCACTCTGAACTTTAGGGTACAAATGTGGGGGCCTGCATGAAAACTTTTAAGCTTAACTACCAGCTTAGATCTGGTCCGCTGCCACCACTCCCAAAGCTTATTCCCTTCCCTGGGAAGCCTTGAGAAACTCTTCACCAATTCCCTGGTGAATACAGATCCAAACCCCTTGGATCTTAAAACAAGGAGAAATTAACCATCCCCCTCCTTCCTCCCACCAACTCCTGGTGGATCAAGATCCAACCCCCTTGGATCTAGAAACAGGGAAAAATCAATCAGGTTCTTAAAAAGAAGGTTTTTAATGAAAGAAAAAGGTAATAATCCTCTCTGTAAAATCAGGATGGAAAAATAACTTTACAGGGTAATC